AAAACCCCTTTTCTGAAGTTCTTGTGGTGTCCAAGACTTCTTCAAGTGCTTCTCCACGTCTAATGCTTCTCCAAGAGCTTCCCCATGTCTAGAATGATGTATGACAACTAGTAGGTGATTTGGGATGAGTTTGGGTGAGTGGTGATGGTTGAGAAAAAGGAAATTCGTAGGGAACTGGAAGGGAGGTTTTCTGGAGCTGTTTTGGTGATTTTGGGGCAGTTTAGAGTATTGGGTTGATTGCTTGAGTGTTTGGGGTTGTGGGAATGTATGAGGATGATTTCTGGATGTGTTGATGGAATGATGGAAGTGTGGAGGATGGCTGAAGTGAGTTTGTAGCTTGAAGACTCCTCTATTTATAGGGCTAAGAGGGAGGAACATCATGATGAAATCCAACACCACCATTCCTCATTTAATACAACCCATAACTCCCACTTCATCTTGTCTATGTTAGTGTGGTTGGAATCAATCCCATCCCATACTTCTTTTGCTGCACCTCAAGCTTTCTTCACATGGGTGTTCAATTTTGGCTGCCTTTTGCTGCCAACCCATGTGGGATTTCTTTTGGTTGCTGGAAATAAAAGATGCTGGTGAACCAGGCTTGGTGTATGAAGGCCTGAGATTTCAATATGTATCCAATGTGGCTCAAATTTGGATATGTCATAATAGACACCCATTGGAAAAGTTTTGATGAAGAATCCATTCCCATCTGAGCAGTATAAGTGTACGTTTTGGGCCTTACAAGTTGACTGCCGAAAATAGACTGGAATGTATGGTGTGCATTTTGATGGGCCCATGGATTGGGCTTGGCTTCGTCAATTGATATGTTTTAGCAGTCCATCTTGTAGTTCAGAATCTCTTCTTTCCAACCCCATATTAATTGGGCCAATACATGTTGGGAGGAGGAAGTTAAGGCCGAAACAAATTGCTAACTCAGTCTGCTCGTTTTTGCACCATTTTGGATCTTTTCCTATCCAAAGCCACCATTGCTATCTAAGGCCCAATGAACTGAATGATAAACAAAAAAGGGATTAAAAGCACAAGTTTAACTCAATAACATAACCAAATCATAAGCTAGAGGGGTACAAAATAATATACAATTATGAACTGATCAGAGGAGTCATTTGGTTAAGTTTGAGTGAAATCCGATCTCTAGAACTACCCAAAACACCAACCACTCCAATTAGGAACGAACTGCCTTTGAACTCGAATTGTCCAAGTTCTTACACCTATAGATTTCGGATCGAGCCCAAAACTTGGGCAACATCATAATATGGTGGGAGGAGTCATTTGGTTAAGTTTGAATGAAATCCGATCTCTAGAACAACCCAAAACACCAACCACTCCAATTTGGAACGAACTGCCTTTGAACTTGAATTGTCCAATTTTTTACACCTACTGATCTTGGATCGAGCCCAAAACTTGGCAACATCATAATATGGTGAGAGGAGTCAATTGGTTAAGTTTGAGTGAAATCCGATCTCTAGAACTATGGAATACACAAACCACTCCGATTTGGAACGAACTGCCTTTGAACTTGAAATGTCCAATTTCTTACACCCATAGATTTCGGATCGAGCCCAAAACTTTGGCAACATCATAATATGGTGAGAGGAGTCAATTGGTTAAGTTTGAGTGAAATCCGATCTCTAGAACTACCCAAAACACCAACCACTCCAATTAGGAATGCACCGCCTTTGAACAACCACTCCGATTAGGAATGAACTGCCTTTGAACATAAATTGTCCAATTTCTTACACCTTTTGATTTCAGATCGAGCCTAAAACTTGGGCAACATCCTAATATGGTTAGAGGTGTCATTTGGTAAAGTTTGAGTGAGATCCGGTCTCTAGAACTACCCAAAACACCAACCACTCCAATTAGGAACGAACCGCCTTTGAACTTGAATTGTCCAATTTCTTACACCTATTGATTTCGTATCGAGCCCAAAACTTGGGCAACATCATAATATGGTGGGAGGATTCATTTGGTTAAGTTTGAGTGAAATCTGATCTCTAGAACTGTGGAATACACCAACCACTCCGATTAGGAACGAACTGCCTTTGAACATAAATTGTCCAATTTCTTACACCTTTTGATTTCAGATCGAGCCTAAAACTTGGGCAACATCCTAATATGGTTAGAGGTGTCATTTGGTAAAGTTTGAGTGAGATCCGGTCTCTAGAACTACCCAAAACACCAACCACTCCAATTAGGAACGAA